TTAGAATCCAAGTCTAGGCTAGATGGTTCAGCTGCAATCTTGTTTTATTTTGTGTTTATAAGCTGTCAACTTTCTGCAGCTGGGTCTGGGTCCTCAATTTATTATTTTTTTATTTTTATTTTTATTTTTTTAATTTTTTATTTTAATTTTTGTGTGTCATTGCTGTCACTAAATCGTCCGAAGTCTGTATTTCTCATGCTTCATTGGCTGGGCCATACTGTGAAGTAGGAAGTTGGCATTAGGGTGTCTATGCCTCAGCATCAATTTTTATGTCCATTACAGGCTTTGATTCTTTTGCTTCATTTATGATCTTCCTTTTGTTGCATTGAGAAATGCAAATTTTTTTCTCCATTTGCTAATTAGAATCCTAAGTTCTGGCCTGTTTTTTTCCTACAATGTCAACTTCTTGGAATATCCTGGCTTTAAGTAATGGCCTTAGCACCTTAGTATATATTCTTCATTTGTAGCACCAAAGATACAAAAAAGAAAATCATCTGTATTCTCTATGTTTAGCACAAGTATTGAAAGGTTTTCGATTTTTCAAATGCAATTAAATGTGAGATTTGTTCATTAGGAACTAAGCTAAATTCTGTATTACTTTTGATCTATTGATTCAGCAATCTGTTTCATGGATCTTTTATTGGTGTTTTGGATATCTATCCAAGTTTTGTGTTTTTTAAATTTTATTTTTTCTCTTTTTGTTAGATAAACCCCTCCAAGTTTTCTTCTCATCTTTAGGGTTATATAGATCTGATCTCTAGGCAGTAAAATAAAATTTGCTTTTGTAAGCGGAAAACATGGCAGGATCTTCTTTCAATTTCTCTTTCTCCCGCTGAAAAATAGTAAACCAAGATACATGCCTTTTTTATTGACTCTATAACACGGCTGATACTCAGAGTTAATGTACCAAAGTTTTTGAGGGTACAACTTACTAACTTGCATCTTCAATTGGTATCCTAGCTTCCTACAACTCGTGCTGTGTCACCTAAATTTGGACGCCGAAAGAGCTGCAGTGATGCAATCAGCTCCCAGTCTGAGGATAAGAATAATGTACGTGCATCAAGGCGCAGCCTAGGAAACCTGAGAGAAAGCTCTTCCCCGAATAGCTCTACTCCTAAGAAGAAGGATCCACTAGTTAAGAGTCGGTTGAAGCAAGTGAAGGAGACTACCAAAAACACTCCTGCTAAAATTACAGAGAAGAGCAGCCCGGATATTGCTGTTCATTCTTAATGATCAGTAGGCTTACTTGTGGTATCGTGTGGGTCGAGATTTTGGAATTTCTTGGCTTTTTAGCGTTTTTATTCCTTTTTTTGCTCTTTATCCTGAAGAATAGGTACCGGAAAGGGAAAGATGGAAAAGAAAACACCTTCACCAGGGAAAAGAAACTCCTTTCCTTTTCTCTCAACCTTGATTATTTTCCGACTGACTTGTTTCCCGTGTTTCTTTTTTCTTTTGTGTGACATGTGTTGTATATCTCTGTAACTTATATTAGTACATAATGTATACCATTAAAAAGTCATTAAGTCCTTGTATTTTTCACTTGTTTGATTGTGGGATTAATGGGGATGTGATCTAACTATCTGTTGTTAACACAGAATTCTTGGTTTGGTATGCCTTTTTTGCCTTGTACTTTCATCTTCTGCCTTAATATCCTGTCCTTGATTTTACGTACTTCGTCTAATACATGCTTCATGAATTCTGTAAGCATTGTCATCAGATTTTCTGACTGAAGTTGTGTAATTTTACTGCATGATGCTAATGTACGCTTAATATTCGTCCCGTATATTCGAAGTTACATACGATTTTACCTCTTTTGGTTCAAAATAAGAAGCCTTCTCAGTCTCACAAGGGAAAAGCTTAAACTGAAAGGCATTTTCATTAGTTTTATGGACAGCTTCTGCTACAGAAACTAGGTTACCGTGGCCGAAGCAGCTAATCACATTCCTTTGTAACTTGTTCTAAACTTCTAACCTCTTCTCAAATCTATAAATGTTTAACTATTTTTTGTAAAATCTAATTAGACTTGAATAACTATTTTTTTTATCTTTTAAATATTTTTGAAGAAAGTATCTAAAATTAGTGAATATTGTGATATCAAAAAAAATAAACTTGAATAATTTTGTATTTTCTTGATATATGGATATATTTAGCCATTTTTTTCCCAATACTTGATGCAAGTTGTTTTGTATTTGTGTTTGTACTAATTAGAAACACAAATTTTCCAAAAAGGCGAATGTGCGTTAATTTATTGTCAGACTAATCATATTAGCCTTTATAGTAAAAGTTACCCATAAACTAACTCTTTATATTGAATCAAAAATACTTGGGGATATTTCAAATGGTGCAAAACTGTGCATGTGGTTTGGAGTCCTCTAGACTTTCTCATTTGAAAAAAAATAAAACTAAGCAAAACTTTTGTTTGGCATTTTTGTGACTGCTGCTTATAATCTACTCTAAATTCTCTGTAGAAACTTACTTCGAATATTGTCCTTCAAATTGCCTTGAAACTTATTTGCGAACCTAAAGGAATTGATTAGTATCTAAAGCAACAATGAACATTTTGAGACCGGAAAATAACATGGTACGGAGTACTAAATAACGCCTATTAAACTATCTATTAAGAGCTTGGAAAACCTTAATTTTATGAAAAATAAATAGTAGAGGAGGGGAGGGATGGTTAATCCCTCCATCTCCCCTAGGTTCGACTTCCCATCATAAGAGGGGATCTCCCGTATCTTACCGTTAAAAAAAAATGAATAGAAGACAGGTAGTAAGTATACATACATACTTCGAATTACATTATATAGTTTTTTTTTTAAAAAAAATAAAATAAAAACCAATTATATAGTGATCCTTGAATGAACAATTGTGGGAAATTCATTATAAAAAATCAATTGTTGTAAAGTGGTTATTCATTATAAAATATTGTAAATAAGACTAATTGAGTAGCCCCTGTAAGACTTATCGAGTAACCCTATAATGTTCACGAAGCTACACTTGTAACACTAACCGAGTAACCCCGTGTATCCAGTTACATATAAAAGTTAGTGTATTCCAAAAGGTATTTCTAAGCTCAACATAAAAAACTTGGGTGTACTTATTCAAATTCAACTTCGACGGTTCAATTCTCAACAACTCTGTAGAAGCGGGAATATCATCAGAGACAGCACTGTGACAGTTGTTGGAACGCACACCTTCAATCTCGGCAATACCAAGGTTTTCATAGCAGAAGCTACTTCACTTCACAAAGGCATTCTCCTAGCTCTCGAGAAAGTGATCAAGAACATTCACATCAAAGATGATAATCTGCTAGTCATCAACTCCATTATAGGTACTTGGTCAATTACATGGCAGATCGATCATATCATTACAAACAAACGCTACCTTCTTAGCAAATTCAACAACTGGAGCCTCCGACATATTTCGAGAGGCAAATAAAGCGGCAGATTGGGTTGCTAATGTGGGTAATTTATTTATCAATAGAATGGACATTAGTCCTTGTAAGTTGTAACAACTCTTCTTTAATTCCAATCCTTTCTTCGGATGTATTAGAAATTCTCCTGGTACGAAGAGTTTCCTGATGTTTTTCTTTTTCTTGACCAACTAAAAAAATCTTTCATATGTAGACATTGAACAAAAGGAATGGTCCGAATGAAGTCATAATTTTTTTGGTTCTCCCAAGTCCCAACATTATATAGCAAAGTAGCAAATGAAGGTTCGTTTACAAAGTTACAAAACATCGCAATTTCTGATATTTGTTCCCAACTATTTTATTGGGCCCCTAATTTCTGCTGGACTTTTACAAGCAAAAGAGTCTAGCATTGGCCATTTTCTACATTCACATCAATTGTTAAATTTTGAGTAGGACGTCTTTGGTTCTTAGTTATTCTACGTAACCCCAATTATTGGAGGCAATTTCAAACGAGGAAGTTTAGCTTTTTTGAGCAAGTCAAGATCATACAGCTCTAGCTTCAATTGTTAATAATTTTCTAATTTTTTTTTTGAGGAAATAATTTTCTAAAATTAAGTTCAAGCCAAAGTATATTTCAATTTGAGATAAGAGTTATATCCTAAACATACGCTGCAAAAATAAATAATAAAATAATTATTACTCGGCCATACAGTATGCAATGCTTAGACATAAGGCATTGTCCCTCTCAAAAAAAAAAAAAAAAAAAAAAGCATTGTAATTTTGGATGTCACAAACTCCTCTATAAGACTATACGGAGTAATATATTTTGTACCGATTCTTTTTGTTCGAAATTAGTGCTTACCTAATATTAATGATATTTAATAAAAGTATTGTATTTTGTAGGGAAAAAAAAACATTTTACACACTAACACACACATTAGATATTTTAGCCTAACATATACCTACAAAGTACTCCATATAGGATAATATGACTACTCATATTTATTTTAAACAGAGAACGGAAAAGTTCGATATTACAAGAGAGACAAAAATTTACCTAAAGCATTTTCAAGTGGGAAAACAAGTATCAAACTATATCATCCAACTAAACTTAGTTTACAACTTACATAGTTCAATACCATTGGCCCCATAGTATTTAAGTTGGTGGTGATAGGTTAGAATTATTTGGCATATGCCATTTATTTATGGAGGCAAAAAATCTCAAAAATTTCAAGGTCTCAATACAAGTACAATTATGCAATGAACATTGAAATAAATGAAAAAAGTTGTTAAAATGTAGATAGCATTATATTGCTTTATCATTTAGAAAGAATTATAATCCACTCATTATATTCATATTATTATTATTTTATAAGTCCAAAAGTTATGCTTTATCCTATTGTCTTGGAGATTCATACAAGACAAGTTAAGCTTTCCCCATTAACTTAGCTTCTTTGAACATCTTTCCTCCATTTTTTGTATCACAATTCAAGCTTAATTTATTTCCAAATTAGTTATTATTATTATTATTATTATTATTATTATTATTATTATTATTATTATTATTATTATTATTATTGCGTGCTATATTATTACCTTGCACGTCACATTTTCATATTATTTGAATTATATAGTTGTTAACGTAATTATTAAATGTAACATGATGAAAATAAGTCATTGCCTTAGCTTTTTAGTTTAGTTTGTTTCATTGTTTATATAAGTGAGGTTATTACTTGCTACTATTTGCATTGTTGATAAGAGTAGATATTATCATGGGCAATTGCATTACTAGAGATTCCGATCCTCCTCCTAAAGATGATGAGGCCGACGCCGATGCAAAGGAGAGTGGAGCTTTAGCCATTGATACAACTTTCAGTTTGCCTTCTCCCTTACCAGAGTGGCCTTCAGGTAACTCAAAATCGCTTACTATTTTCTCTCTTGCTTTGATATCGTAGTAATTTGCATCATGTGATCTACACATAAATTAACGACTTGTTTGATAGGTGGTAATAAACAACGAAATATTATTGAACCTTTTTTTTTTTACATAATCTAGACTTAGATTTATGTATGTAATTACGTACATTCTTCGTATTACTCCATTAAACCATGTAATAGAGTCTAGCTAATTTATACTCTGTACTTCGTATTGTATTTTATTATATCAAAATTGATGTATTGATTATTTCTAAGCTCACACCCCATTTCTTCTCTATAAATTGATGCATCAAACTCAACAAAAATTTAAATTGAACTCAACTTTGTGTCACGTGCTAAGTGTATGTACGGATTTTGCTAAGTTATTACTTTGTGTAAATTTGAGTCGAGTTTTGATTGAGTTTGACCTAAGGTCGTTGTAAATATACTACATCCGTTAAATATTAGTTGCAACTTTGGAGTATTATTCAACTTTAGAATATTTTATATCTTCACAAATAATACTCCAAAGTTGCAACTAATATTTAACGGAGGTAGTATATACCTCTTCAATCCTTCTCTAGGTTGCAAAACACTGATTTTGTGTCTAGTTCAACCTGTAATCACATTCTGTGGAATGTGGGATTGCCAATACCTAAGGTCATTGGTGTGACGATTTTGATTTATTATTCTTATTTAGGCTATGTTTTTCTCTCTTTAGTGTATTGAAAAATTGGTGTTGACCTAGAATATGGATCAAACTAGATTGGATCGGAATGGAAACACTATATTGTTCTATGAGCTACAAATTTATTTTTTCAGTTTGCGGTCAAGTTAGTACAAAATCTTAATAATTCGGTGCAATTTCTACCCTACTCCCAGAATACCGAATGAATTATAGATTTAAATGCCTAATATCTCTGTATTTGTTTAATTGTTTTATAATTCGGCGCAATTTCTACCCTAAATCTGGAGTACCGAATCAATTTTTTTTTTAGGTAAGAGTTGTTTTAAATTAGAAATGAAGAAAAAAGCCATTAAACATTAGGCTTTTTAAGGTTTTGTTTGCTTATTTGTTTGTTTTTCCCTTTCTATTTTTATAAAAAAAGTTATTGATGCTAAAACTGGTCCAAACTAGCCTGGTTTAGGTTTTGGATCAATTTTATCGTTGTGGTCTGTTTACGGTTTAGTATAGCCGATCAGGCTTCTTTGGGCCTTAAATTTTATATTTCGTGTTTGCAATTTGGCGATTTGCTTTGGTTCAGCCCAATGAACAACCTTAAACTCTGATGAACAATATAATACCACTTTAAACAAATCTATCCATAATTTTTTTTTTGAGAGAAATCTATCCATAACTTTTATAGTATGTATGTATGATAAAAATTATCTGTAATACTCTCTATTATCTGTAATACTCTCCATAACTGTAATATCTTTAACTATCAAGTATAAAAATGTAAAATTCAAATATTATACATTGAGACGATTTCAACATATACTAAATGACTACATTATTTTCTTATGTATCAGTCACTAATGTTGGTCAAAATAAATTGTGTGTATGAACAATACCAAAGATTAAAATCAAAATAGAACACTTAAAAAAAAAGGAAGGAGTAATAATAAAAAGGTACCAACTGTCTATCTTATCCACAACCATAAGAAAGGAATCAAATCAAGCTAGAAAAGGAAGAATACAATTGGACATATCAAAAACAATGAATCATATGATTCATATCAAACATTTATGTGAGCATTATATAATAAAAATCATGAATTACCTTTTAGGATTGATCATATTTATCAATAATTGATATTAAACAATAATTGCTTCAAAAACCATTCATATATATAGCCCCAAATACCATTCACTAAGCTTCAAAAACACCACACAATAAAACTACACCCTCAAAGATATGTATATCATCCCTCATCTTCGCGTACTTGCGTAGCTAGTCGAGCTTATAATTACGGTCCAACAAAATAAAGTTACAAACACAACAAAAATAAGGAAAAGCCGTTATTTAGCTAGATGAGCTAATCTAGGACAAAGCCAAACAAAAAAGGTGGAAAAATTCTTAATCAAAATTATTATTCCCAATTTTCTTTATTAATGGGGATAATCATGTCCATGATTAGCTTATTTCTATAGGTAGGGTAGAAGTCTCCCAAAGGGGGACTACATTGTTCCCTAAATATAATAAATTAAATTAATATTAATTTTTCTAATTAATATTAATTAAATGGGTGTCATAAACTCTCAAATTTTGTTGCTATTATCATTGATAATAGCATTAATCTTAGGCAATTGTTTTTGTTACAAACAATCCAAAAATCCTCCAAATATTGATGTTGTTTCAAGAAACTCTTCAAATGATTCAAGTTTTGGTGATGTTAATCATCATAAGCTTAATGTTGTTTCAAGGAGAAACTTCCGAATTGATTCATCATCTTTCAATTTCCCATCTCCTTTACCTTCATGGCCGAATGGTAAATTTCCTTTACCTCCTTTTTTCTCTCATCTTGTTTAATCAATTTAGTTGTTTTTATATTTTATCTATATATTTAAAATTGAATCAAGGAATTCAATATATTATTTTATTGGTATGTATATAAATGATATGCTTTTTGTGAGAAATTTGCATGCTCAATATTATAATAATTATATTTAATTATTTTCATTTGGGGTTCTAATAGGATGCAATGGTTTAATTTGATTTTTATTATATAGTCTAATGTAAGAAATATGCACATGATACATAAGTTAAACATATTTTCTGCATTGTAGTTTGAATGTCATAATATGTAAGCTATGAAATGTAAGCTATATAATTTTTTTTTTTAAAAAAAGCAAACAACGATAATTAAAGTAAATAAATTAGCACTTTTAATTGAAATTTCATACAGAGAATTTAATATATTATAATTGAATATAAAACATAATTAAAAAGAAAAAAAAAAAGCAAAGATGATTAGAATAATAACTACTCATTTGTTGTTAGTCTTGAGTTCAAACCTTGTGACATGAGAAGGGTGTCACGTGACATATATACTGTTTTAGAAACACTTTTTAATATATTTTCTTTGGCAAATAGGTGGCGGATTTGCAACGGGCACAATCGATTTTGGAGGGCTAGCAGTAGCCGAGGTGACAAATTTCACCAAAGTATGGGCAACATATAACGGAGGACCAGACGATGGAGGGGCTACATTTTTCGAGCCAATTGGGCTACCAGAAGGGTTTTATTTGTTAGGGTACTACGCCCAACCTAACAATAGACCTTTATATGGGCGTGTACTAGTAGGCAAAGATACTAGTAATCCTGCTAATCCAACGTTAAAGTGGCCCGTTGACTATGCCCTTGTTTGGAGTAGTAAATCTCAAGATGTTAAAGAGGACACTCCTGGCTACATTTGGGCTCCTATACCAAAAGATGGGTACCAAGCTGTGGGTCTTGTTGTTACCTCTACGCCCGAGAAGCCGCCCCTAGAGAAGGTTCGATGCGTTCGATCTGATTTTACTACGTTGTGTGAACCCGACGATTGGGTATGGGGCAAGACGGGTGATGTTGATTCGGACGAGTTTAACATTTTCGAGTCTAGACCCGTAAGGAAAGGAAAACAGGTACGTACTCGTAATAACTAGTAGTGTCACCTTTTAACTTGTTTCTATTCTAATAGTGTAACTATATTCTACTAGAAATTATAAGTCAAACTAAATGTTAAAACTTCATGCTAGTCAATATCCCATCAATTTATAGGTGATAATTTGTGCTCATATAGTCTCATGTAAATAGGGAGTCCAAATCCACTATTCTTTTGATTTCACATTTGTGTTAATCTTTTATTAAGATCCTATCATCTAGTTAGAATAATTTAAAATAGTCCTATGTTTCTGTATATAAATGGTACATAAAAAGTTGAACACAAAATTTTGCTTTATAAATGAGCTGAAAAATGTTTTAGCTGGTCGAAACAAAATATTTTGTCTTATGTAGCATAAACAGGTAACAAAATTGGTAAAAATGTAAAACATAAAAAGTGAAACAAAAGATTTGAATTTTGTTTTAGTATCAAAACAATTAGCATTCTTCTTATTACAATACTTGCAAAATCATTAAATTTAATTAGATTAATCATTTTAAATCCAATGAATAAGACAATTGGATAATGTTCTATGTACAACTGGTTACACCTTATGCATGGTACAATTAACATTATTATTTCTTTACTCACGTGCTTGTATACACTTGAACCAAACTGGTTGTATGGTAAAAATCCTCGATACTTGTGAAAGATTACACCACAAATCCTTGCAAGTTGCAATTTTCTTGATTGTCATAAACTAGCTTGAATTATAATGCTAACATTTTGATTGAAACATAACCAGGCATCAGCAGTGAGTGCAGGAACATTCTTGGCAAAAAGTGGTGGAGGAACAACAGTGGAAACACCTCTCTTAGTGTGCTTAAAATATACCCTAAAAAACAACACTTACATGCCCAATTTACAACAACTTGAAGCACTCATCAAAACCTACTCTCCTAAGGTATACATTCACCCAAAAGAAGAGTATCTACCTTCATCAGTTGACTGGTTCTTCCAAAATGGAGCCTTATTGTACAAAAAAGGCGACGAGTCTAACCCTGTCCCTATTGATCCCTCGGGGTCTAATCTCCCCCAAGGCGGCACCAATGATGGAGAATATTGGATAGACCTTCCAAGGGATAAAAACGAAAGGGAACGAGTCAAGAAAGGAGACATGGGATCAGCCTGTGCGTACTACCACATTAAGCCTATGCTAGCAGGAACATACACTGACTTAGCAATATGGCTGTTTTACCCATTTAATGGACCGTCAAGAGCTAAAGTCGGGTTTTTAACCATACCATTAGGGGAAATAGGGGAGCATGTAGGAGATTGGGAACATATAACATTAAGAATTAGTAATTTTAATGGTCTGTTAATGAAGGTGTTTTTTTCACAACATGCTGGGGGTGAATGGGTGTACCCTCCTGACCTTGAATTCGGCGAAGGCAACAGAATCCAAGGGTATGCTTCATTGCACGGTCATGCTAATTACCGGAAGGCAGGGGATGTCCTGCAAGATGGCAATGGAGAAGGGACTGATAAATTTGCCGGAATCAGGAATGATACTGATAAGAGCAACAATGTGTATGATACAGGGGCTAATTACAAAATCATTTCCGCGGATTATCTTGGGACAATTACTGAGCCACCATGGTTGAACTATGCTAGGAAATGGGGTCCTATGATTACTTATAACATTAATGATGAGATTAATAAGGTCGCGAAATTGTTGCCTGGGAAGCTTAAGGATAAGTTTCATAGCTTTATTAAGAGCTTGCCTGCTGAATTGTTGGGGGAACAAGGGCCTACTGGTCCTAAGATGAAGAAGAACTGGGATGGAGAAGAGACAGTTTAAGTGTTACTTTGCTTGTTTTTATAGAGCTTGATTGTTGAACTTGTTAATAGAGTCTTTGATTGATTTCATTTAAAGTGAAGTTCATGTATGAAGATTGCAAATAATGTTCACTTTGAAAAGAAAAAAAATTGAATTTGGTTTTTAATTATGATATGCAAGTATAGTTTCTCAAATTATAGTATATGTAGTAAACCATTTTTTTCAAAAGAAATAAGGGGGAATAATTTCAATTTAAAGATTTACAAAATGCCCATCATCAAGGACATCAACAACAATATTCAAAAATTACTATTGCATTGTTTGGTAAAAAAATTGAAAGGGGTGTTACAAGCCAATAAGATAACTACAGTATGAACTTTTCCTCCAATTCTAGTAAGATCGATAATGGAAATGATTTTTTAGGTCTAGCTATGCTACACTTTAGCTTCTACCCTAGATTTGTATGGTATTATTTGAGAGCTAGCCTAGTAGCCTTTCACTAGCTAAGTTTAGCCACATGAATTACATAAATGGGATGATAAAAAATTAACAGATGAATTAATTTAATATTAACCCAAATTCTTATATGTGGTTGTGGCTAAAGATGGCTCTAGGCCTTGTCAAGTCATGTTTCGTGCCAAGCTCACGTGCTTTGGTGTTTATTAGGGTCAGGCTATGGCTTAGCCCAAGAGTTTTTTGCTTGGCAGAAGTTAAAAAGTTGGCCTGTGCACGACCTAGGTCCACGTGTTATGGTGCCCAGCCGTGCCTTGTGGGCGTGCAAGCAAAATTGTATTGATTTTAGCATGCTTTGCCGCGACAGGCCGTGCCTTATCGTGCTTCTCCCAAATAAAAGGCGGCCCATGGCTCACACGCATAGTACCATGTCGGCCCGGCCAGTGCCATCTTTAGTTGCGGTAAGTCATCATGGGCGGGGGTTACTTTGTTAATGTTATAGGGATTACTCGGTCAATGTTATAGGGATTACTCAGTCAATGTTATAGGGGTTACCCCATTAGTATTATAAGGGTTACTCGATCGGTCAATGTTATAGGGGTTATCCCATTAGTATTATAAGGGTTACTCGATCGGTCAATGTTATAGGCTTACTAAATCAGTGTTATTGGAATTACTCTTATCAATTACAAGCAACCACATAGTGTGACTAGCCACACGCCCACACACAATACGTGTTTCATATATTCATAAAATTTTATAAATTTATAGTACTCCGTAGTGTATAATACTTGAAGAGAGGATAAATCTATATATCATCACTAATCTCAATCAGTAACGGTCAAAACTGAATTTGGCGCCTCTATAAATTCAGTTAAGCAACAAATTTAGATAAGAAAATCAGTCTGAGTAGCAGTAGTAAAAACAATGAGCACATCCACTCAATTTCTTTCTCCTTTCATTTACCAACCTCTCAAAACCCCTAAAACCCTAACCCTAATTTTCAATCCCAAATTTCCCCAATCTCATAATTCTCAAATCAACCCCAAAATTGTTCAATCCCAGAACAAACCCATTCGCAAAAACCCTAGAAAAAGGTCTTATGGAAGCTCAAGAAGGTCAGTTATTAAGAAAACATTCATTCAGGAACAAGTGGTTTTTACTGCTCCGATTTCTGATGACCCGGAAGTTGGGATAATTGGTGGCGGAATGGCGGGTCTTATGTGCGCTCTGAATTTGGAGAAGAGAGGGATTCGTTCTACTGTTTTCGACACGGTTGATTAATCTCTGTTTTCTATCTTATAATTGTTTTAATTTGAATTAATTTTGGTCTGATATAAAATTGATTGTATTTTTTCTTTTGATAATTAATGGTTCTGGGTATTGATAATAATTAATTATGGTTTAAATTGAATTAATTTTGGTCTAAAATACGATTGATTGTATCATTGTTTTGATAATTTAAGAAAAGATATTAATACTACCTCCGTTTTAAATTATTTGCAACAATTAGAAATTTAATTATTTGCAACGATTTTACATAAAGTGTGAGTAGAAAATGTCTAATTGTTGCAAATAATTTGAAATGGAGGTAGTACTTTAATTCATACCTATAGGTTATATTTCATTTTGGGCTTATTAGGAAAATTAAAATGAAAATGAACACGAATTGATGCATTATTAATGATATCTTGTTCAAAGATTTGATATATTTCTTACTGATGATTGCCCATTGAAGTTCTGAGTTCTTGATAGTTTTCCGTCATAGGGAATGCATGGTTTGGGAGGGAGGATGGGAACAAGAATAGTTGAACCTAAGCACTATGTTTTCGACCATGCTGCTCAATTCTTTACTGTTAGCGATATGCGGTTTGGTGAGTTGGTCAATGGATGGATTGAGAAGGGGCTTGTACAACAATGGCAGGGTACAGTTGGAGAAATTGAACCCGGGGGTCGATTTTCTCCATTGCCTGCTTCTCCACCACGTTATATAGGTGTCAATGGAATGCGTACACTGGCTGATTCAATATTGTCCGAGGTGATTATGTTTTCTGTTTCACTACAGCTCTTTTCCTACTATGCTATTTACTTATAATAGATGCATTTTAATTGCTGGTTGTCACTTGTCAGTATAGTCAGCATATGTATATCTCTTCCATTCTCGTTGATATTTTTGTAATGTGTGACATAGCATTTTCTCAATTGAAGGATTAGGTCTCGTGATGAGGGTATTGAATTCCATCAGGTGATGGTAGGCTTGTTAGCACCTAAGTCTTAGATCAAAGATTACATCTGAATACCTTTTCATTTTATTCACTGTTGATTGAGTGTTGACAATTTGTGTCATCATTGAACTCTTGCATATCAAATTATTTGTAGAAGTTAGTATACCCACTAACCAAAGACTTGGAGTATGTGTGTGTAGGAAATGACAAATACATTGTAACATCTATTTTTACATACAGAGTATATGTGAGTATGTGAATCCCCAGATTTTTTACACTTTCTATAATATCTTTCTCAAATTAGTTTTTAAACTTCTTGTAAAGAAAGGTTATACTATTATTTTAATACATCTTTTCTCATTTTTAGAAAGTTGGGGTCTTACGCTTCATTTCCATAGCTTACACTAATTGATGTAGGTTAAATATTAATGAAATGACCGTCTAACTTCATTTGGCCATAACTATCATTTTATTTTATTTGATAAAAGTAATTTGACTAATATATAGGTAGTGTTATGCTATCTAAAGTGGGGTCAGATTGTATCAAGACAAATGTTTCACTGTCAAAGCCTAATACTATTAAAAGAGAAAAAACTACTCCATCCATTTACAAATAATATTTCTGTTAGTTTTGGACTTGCATATTAAGGAGTTTAGTACGCTTAGGTGAAATTGTGATGGAAAGAAAATGGAGAGATGCACATCACATGGTTTGTGTGTATAAATTTTCATGTTAAGTAACATGAAGATTTTTATGGACACCATAAAAAGGAATATAGAAAGATTGTTTATGGATGGAAGGAGTACAATCATTCAACCCAACTTGAGTTTCCATTTTTAACCACCCCACCATTCTTACTGCTTTCTTTCTTTCTTTCTTTCTTAGTACCTTCATTCAATTCTTGTCCCTGCTACTTCCTTTGGTAAAAATATCTACCTTCTTTGCTGTGACACTACAAAAAGTTGACCCCCAATTTCTTATTGGTATAAGCAATTCTATACTGCTCTTTTACTTTTCTCTGTAAAGGCTATAATTGATTCATCATTCATTTTGCAACTGTAGAGATGGAAATGGATTAGATGACAGCCCTTCATTTTGAAAGAGAAAATAATACTTGGATTTATCTTTGGAAGGGCTTCAATATTTTTAATTATTTATTGATGTAAAACTTTCAGGTACTTATAAAGAATATCTTTAGCTCTTATCATTTTAAGCTGGATGATCAAGTTCAAGTTACCACTCATTATGCTCACATATTATGTGCTGCATTTGAAAGTATTCTTTGAAAGAGTGTTAATGTTGATTGCGAACCACTTCCCACGTGTAATGATCCTTTTCACAATGCCGTCGTGGTTATGCAATGTTTTTACAAATTATAAGTTAACCTTGTGTTAAAATGTTTTAGGTGTAATGCAAGACAAGAACATGTTGGAAATTATAATGTTGATTGGAGTCTCTTAAGTAAATCCTTTCCTGTTTCAGCAAACTAATGCATCATCAACAAAAACAGAATTATATGATTTTAGTCATATCAATCTATCTCATAGTATGCACATCTCTAGTGCATCAAATCGATCATACCCTATACAGTAAGGCACCAGGAAGGATAAAATGAAGTTTACTATTAAATTTGTCAATGATCTTTTCTGTTGCTCTATGCAGCTGTTAACATCTGGCCTTATACTTATCTTTCTTCTCTCCTTTTCCATTAGATTGGCATGGAATAGTTTGCAGAAGTTGTATTATATGTTGTTATCAGATTCAGATCGAACTTTTGTTTTCATTTTATGTCTTCACTCAGTGATTCTACTTATTCAATTAATTCAACTAATTCTTGAACTTGTGCAGGCAAAAATGGTTGAAGTTGTTAGGCCATGTTGGATCAGTACACTGGAGCCATTTAATGGGATGTGGCATTTGAGTGAGAATGGAAAGCCACGTGGAAAATTCGATGCTATTGTTATTGCACACAACGGTGACTTTTGCAACCTTTGTTTCTTTTGTTTATTTATTTTTTGCTTTGCTTCAGCACTATATCGAATTACAATCACATCCAAGTAACTTCTAAAGAAAACATTAATCTGAGATTCACTTGACATTCTGAACGAAAAAGTCCATGAAGAGATAAATGGCAATCTTGACTTATGATTTAGGCAGAAGAGGTGTTAATATGAAAGAAGCAGCCATTTCTTGAATTATTTTAATTCTTGTTGTTAATTGCTTACCCATAAACTGTAGAAAAAAATGTTCAGTTAATTCTGAATTGGCGTGTTAAGTCTATGTTCATTTTGCTTCATATGCTTGTAGTTTGTTGACGTCATATTGATTTTTGTACTGCGAACCTGTGACCTGTGGTGATCAATATCGAATAATTTCAGCTATGGCTGTTTCCAGAATTCTTATTTTGAAGGAGATCTTTTCCAGATTTCTATTAATAGATGATTGTTGTTTTTCCTTCTATTATTGGACATTTTCTATTAATAACAATTTACTACGTATTATTTTATCTTTTGCTTTAGATTGTTTAGTAGATGGAATGGTTGAAATTACAACTTTGAGATATTTTTCTTATGGCTCTTTTTAGGCTTCACTAGCTCTTGGTATATGCTGGCAATGAATCTTTTCAATATTCTACTTTGTCATCAGGAAAATGTGCAAATCGCTTACTCGCCCATTCAGGCTTGCCACTTATTGCTAAACAAATGAAGGTGTGCTGAATTTCCTTTTTTTTTTTCTTTTCTTTTTAATGGTAGGCTTACTTTTTTCAGTTGGTGCTCATTTTTTATTGTTTGCCCGATAAATGTTGCATTATTCTGGAACCTACATTATGAGATCAAGCTTGTACTGTAGATTAGCAACTTCCTGTATTTGATAACGCAGTACATATTTTTGCAGAGGTTAGATTTGAGCTCTATTTGGGCCCTGCTTGCAGCATTTGATGACCCTCTTCCTTTGAGTTCTACCTTTGAAGGAGCATTTGTAAATGGAATAGATGCTTTATCATGGATGGCCAACAACTCTGCAAAGTTGTCGTCTACCCAAATTGGTCCTCATTGCTGGACTTTCTTCAGTACAGCAGCTTTTGGAAAACAGAACAAGGTTCCACAGGTTTGTTATGCATTTAATTGTGGAACATATTAGTACAAATTTGACTTTCTGGGAAATCTATGACTCTGCTCAAAGTTTTTATTAAGAGCTTTGAATTCGCTTCTCTTTTAGGCTCTGAAAAATTAGCAAACTAAAGACACACATGAGTTTATGTGACAACTTGTTACTAAGGATTTGTTTGGTTCAACCTCTTTTTTTTTTTTTTTTTAGTTTTTGTTTTTTTGGTGTCTTACTTCAGACAAATAAAGTTCAAATAAGTTTAGTAAGTTTTGTTAAGTTCAGACAATTATTTTTTTTAAGACATAATAATTGTTGACAATTTGCACACAAATAAGATAATTTCTGACAGAAATAAGTCCATATAATGTCACTATATCAGATAAGTTCAGACAAAATAAATTTATCAAACAGAGCCTAAAACACCCCTCTCCTCCAGAAAATATGTTATGTTTCTGCAACTTTTTTTAATACTTGTATTAAGTGAAGTTAGTGTTTTGAACAATCAGTTGCTAAACAAAACTTTGATGGTTAATATTAGAACAACTATATTTCTATTATTCCAATATCTGTTATCTTTTACTGTAGCCTGATCAGTTATCTTGCCGTATACATGTCTAATATTCTAATCTGTCCAATCTAATTTATATTTGATTGTTAATAACCTTAAGCTGTCATGGGAATGCTCTATCACTGACTCTCTGAGTTATATCCCTTGCCCTTTAAGATCTAGAAAACTGATCCTAAGCCTAGGGGTGAGAAACTCTACATCAACTTCAATCATTGTCAATTTTTAGTTACATTATTTTGTATGGTCCTCTGACTTCTTGGTTTGTAGATAAGGTACCAAGCCATGGGAATAATGCTAGAGTGTATGAATTGTTCAGTTAATCTAACTTCACAAAGTATTTCTCTGGCCCAGTTGAACGAACTGGTATAGTTGGGAAAGTTCCTACTGAGATATTTTCAGCTGTGGTTGAAAAGGCTTAGTTTAATACCTCCCTAGATGTCCCCTACTTTTCATGTGTTATCAAGTCATAGGTATGTCCATTGCAGGTGTAAGGTTTCTAGCATATTAAATTATCCTTTACTTTATTAGTCGTTACTTTTATTAATAACAGTGTTGGGAAGTCAGATAGTATAATGTCATCATGCTAAGAGTAGTAATATTTTGTGATGGGTCTTATATACGATATCAATATACTTTTTCAGGATACAACATAAAAAATGATTGCCAATATTGTTATTAGTGTACTAAGCTCCTAGTTATATTATGGTCACTCATATGAAGTATATCTTACCCAAATCAACGAATTACAAATGTATGCTATTAAATTGCTGAAGTTTTTATAATAATGCTTCAGAGCACCATCAACCCTTAAATACAATAAAAAAAATAGGATTTGTGACATTGTTATGCAAATATCTGAAATGGACTTTAGTTTGACCAAGCGCTCTTTGATGCCTCAATTGCATTTCACTATATGGCCTTGCATAGAGCTATAAAGATGATCACTCACTGCACCTTGTGTCTTAGCTCCTCATGCATGTTGCATCTCACCTTTTTCACACATTTTGTGTCTATGTTGCTGAATAATAATTCGTCTACTACTAGGAAAACATTCCAAGTGTCACCGCAGAGAAGGTAACAACACAGATGCTGGAGGGTGTTGAGATTGCATTAGGGCTCCCAAAAGGATCACTGAAGAAACCTAGTTATACCAAGGTGCAACTATGGTAAGGAACTGATAGAGAATATTAAAAATTCCTTGTTCATGCATGGCACAGCTGCTAATGCTGTGTGAGAGCCTTAATATATTTGAAACTAGCATACTTCCTTCGTTCTCTTTTAGTTGCAACTTTTTAAGTTTCACACGTGCCCGTGCATAATTTCAACCCTTTACATCTCTAATTATAGACAAGTTGTATAAAAACTTGTTATGTGAAAATATAAATCAGGTTGAATTTAACAAGATCCACATGATTATATTTTGCCTAACTTATAAATCAACATGAAATGTTGCATTTTTACTGTCTGAATTTATGTTGTTTTCTTATGATCTTATCCATTTGAATGAACTGAATTACCTGATATAAATGACACAAATCATTTGTATTTTGAGGGCGGTGAGGGCCTGAGGGGTAGATGACAGGAGCATAAAATGGAAAGGGGGGAAAAATATCAAAGTTGATACTAAAACCTTGTTTTCTTAGCGTCAGATGAAAAGAGTATATGAATTACTTGTTTTCAATGTTTCTTATTATATCGACAGATTACTGCAAAGAGATTGTTGTTCTTACTGCAAATAATCATTATTCTCCATTTTCCAAGCCCAGTCAATGAAGTGCCATCCCACAAAAAATATAATCATAAACCTTGCTTCTATAAAATGGTATGACATGGTCTAATTTCAACGAACTCATGGATATTCTGAGATTTGAATTATTACGAATTAGTTGTGATTGACTCAATTGCTGGAGGTTTTATTTTGCTGTGTAAATAGGAAACGATCGTACTATATTGTGCATTAGGATGATAAGTCAATTGGAAAAGGCCTTTCTGTTATTGTGGTATTAGGGTTGCTTACATCCATCATACTCCACCCCAGCAGCCTCTTTGGCAGCATTGACGAGTATGATAATGTAGCACGCCTTAATTTTTTTGGCCTATTTGTCATTAAATTTTTTTTTTCCCCTCATCTTGCTTACTTATAATCCCCCCCCCTGCGCGCGCGGGTGTTTTGAAATTGATCACAATTTAGCCTTGCTATGAAGGATAGTTGGCTGATATCCTCTAAAAGTGAGCAGCTAAGCATGCAAAGAAATGGCTAATTTAGCAAGAGATTTGTCATTGAGGTGTGAGGAAGTTAATGTGATCAATGTAATTATCTATCATAAAAATAAGATAATGTTTATTGAATGAGTTTCAAGTTATGGCTCGTGGTCATGCTTCATTTTCAAACTGTTAGTTTTTCACTTTCTTTACTTGGAATTCGGAGCTTGATTGAGCAAGCAGTATAAATTATTTCTGTTATCTGCAGGGGTGCAGCTCTTCCAACCAATACTCCAGGCACTCCATGCATCTTTGATCCTCAAGGAAGAGTTGGTATTTGTGGTGATTGGCTGCTGGGTTCAAGTCTAGAAGACGCTGCTCTCAGTGGCATGTCAATGGCTAGTCATGTAAGCATAAAATCATCACTTAAATCATTCTCAATTGACATTTGATACTTTGTCTAACATCAGTACTAAGTTGGAGGCATGTAAGCTACGGAGTATCAACTACTCACCCTGCCACTATATGATTCTCACACTTGCCATATTCGTTTATCTTATGGTGTGTTCTATTCACTTGATTTTTACTTATCTGATCTTATTTAAACTTATGAATTATTCTGAACTTATTAGCCCTTATTAAAACTTATTTTAGTTATAAATTAAACTTGGTAGATTAACCCTTATCACAACTTATCTGAAATTATTTTTCCTAAACTTATCCGATTTGCACTTATCAAAGCTATTTAACCCTTATCTGAACATATTAACCCCGAAATAAGTGGAAATAAGGTGAACATAACAGAGCCTTAATTATATTGTCACACTTCAATAGACCCACTAATATTATATTTACCTCTCTTACCCTACTAAAAATTATGATCCCACACTCTATCTCATTAATAAAAAATTCCGCCACTATCTTTCATCACATCTACTTTTCTATTACAATGTACTTCCTTTGCTTTTTTTTAAGTGACTTACTTTTTTTTTCGGAAATATTCTATTCTATAATTTTTAATTATATTCATCTCTCTTTCGGTCACACTACTATATTTTATATTATTTCTCTCTCATTATTGTCTCAACTCCTACATTTTTAATTAGTTCTCGCATCTCACATCCTAATATTCAAATCTCTAAAAAAAGCTGCCCTACTTATACACCCTATGTATTTTTCTTAAAACTCTGCATGAGCTTGGGTCACTTAAAAAAACGGAGGGAGAAATAAATAGGCAAACATCTTATCACCTAAACTTTGTGCAAACCTTCCTGTGATGTTTTATTTGGGATGGAGGGAGTGCAACTTATATGTCAATCATGCTCAAGTTTAAATGCATGCTTGGGGTCAATCATGCATTCATGCGGTGCTTTTTATTTCCATCTTGACTTACACCTGGGTTTAAGTTTGAATTTACAGATTGCAGACTATTTTCGAAGTGATGGAACACATGCAGAGGATTATGCAATTGGCTTGCACAATGAATTCCAACGGATACAAGGACACGACACTGGGCGGTTTCCTGGTTTAGAACCTAAAGACCTGGTAAATTAATCTTATACTGTGTTCCAAATTATCAATGCGATTCTTGTAGAGGATCAGAATTCCTTGAATTTTTAGTGTTGTGTTTGCTACTGCTGCATGTCTTTGTTGTTGACACTAATGAATAACGATAGCTGTGCATTCTTTATATTAATTTGCTGAGAGTAGGTGACGGGAGAACTTGTACAAACATAGAGTTAGCAATCTTGGTCTGGAAGGATCAGTCTGATTTATTACAAAACTCCATTTGAAGCATGGACTCATAAGAGGTACGTTCTATGTCTAAGCAATTTGATAAGTTTCGCTCACCTGAAGTAGGAATGTAAATCATATAGACTTCAGAGTTACAGGGGCTTCTTGTGAAATACTAATATTGATTTTTCTAGTAGATTCAGCAAACCAAGATGTTAAAGACAATTTGAGAAGTTTTTAACAGCTAAACCAACTTGTTTTGGGCACATAGATGTCAATGTCTAGCTTGAAAGTTTTATCTTTTGTTTTTCTGACTTTATAGCATTAGATAGATGTCTCAGGATTTTTTTTTATTAATCAGTTACTTTCACAAGTTTTGTGAGAAACCAGTTAGCAATCTAGCATGACATAAGAAATGGTACTGATATGATCGAATTTCAAACACATTGCATCAAACTGTGTCAAGGAAAAGTTATAGGAGAACTTTTTATGCACCATCTAAGAAACTAAGGATGTTAAATTCTTTCCGTTTCAGCTTCTCAAAATGTATGTACTAGGATACAACATTACAACATAACAGCAGACGAGTATCAGGGTGTACACCAAACCCATTTTTCTCACCCAGGAGAGGCAATATCAACATTCCATCATCGATCTTCATTGTTATGTTGACATCACTAATGGTAGCCTTTCCCATGCATGCTTATTTGCAGGGTCCCTTGAGGATTTTTTTTGATGAAAAATTGATCTACTTCAGGGTATACAAGCATTTTCAACCAGACTCACTTTTTGCAAGAGTTGAAGACTTGAAGTCTAGATTTTGTAAATTTTATTTGTAACTCATGTATGTTTGTATGTTAGTAATGTTATACTTTGAAAGAGAATGTATTACAAAATTGTGAAAGTAACCAATTAATAGAAAGTGTTTTACTGATCGCAATCATCTTGGATCTTACAGAGTTTTCGTTCAATGTTCAACCTATTAAAAATTTTGCCTTAATTTTTGGACTGAATGCAAACGGCTTGTACTAAATATATCCTCATTAGTGCTTAACCCTCAATCATCTATTAGCTAGAGGCAGATACCTTCGTAAGAACAATTGAGATATGAACATTATTGACATGATACAGTTTTGGAAGAACTGACATTTGCAATTCGCGATTATCCTTTCACTCGTATTCTGGTTTGTGGTCCTCAGGAAGGTGTAGTACTTCGGAGTCAGTTTCTCTAGTTTATGGCTCCACAGAGGTAAGATTTTACTTGAACCCCTCCTTCTGGATAATACTACAAGTGTTGGCGGATCTTCTGCGAGGTTCATTAATAGACTTTCTAGGTGGCCATGCTTGGGATCATCAATCTCCTTTTGCCCTTTGTTACATGCTTGCTTTTGGGCTCTCTATGAAGCTTTCCAGAAAAGCTTTCTCGTTTGCCAATCTACAAAGACGGCGCAGTTTTAATTTCTTTGATTCGTCAACGGAGTTCAAATGATATCTCATGTTTTTGGTTGATTCATAATTTCATATTTCATCCCTATTAGTTTTCCCTAGCTACTTGTTGTATTTGTAAAGTCGTGCGTATTTGGGTTTCTCCTGCTCATTGGTTGGTTGTGGAGCTAGTCGTCGATGTTTTCCGTATTTGTCCTTTTAATTTGGTCTTTGTTTGTTTGGTTTGTTTATTTATTAGTAAAGATGAGCACGGCCGTGCCGGCACGCGGGCGGCATGGGCCCAGCACGACTCCGGCGCGGCGGCCCACTTGTGGACCATGCCGTGAACAAAAAATTGAAATCCGACACGGGCGTGATGGGCGGCACGGTCGTCAGCACGCCGACACGGCCCATGCCCAATTATATTTAAACTTATTTACTTAAGTTTATTTATATAAACTTATTTAATTAAGTTTATTTATATTAACTTATTTAATTAAGTTTATATAAATAACTAGTTTTGTGGCCCGTGCGATGCTCGGGTTGTTTATTGAATTTTATGATAAATTTTTAATCTATATATCAAATTTTAAAATTATTGATACAAAATTAATTAGGAATTGTTGTGCTTTTGTGACGATTTGTTATCTAGTAGGCATGTAATGACTAATTATAATGTTGGTAGAAATGTTCGATTTAATACATTTAAAAAATAAAATAAAAATTAGCAAAAAAAAAATAAAATAATAAATTTTCAAAGATCAACCCGTTGGGTTGATCCGAACCAAAAACTCTGGGCAAAGGTTGAACATTTCTTGACTCGTAAACTGAATTGACCTAATCCGAGATGACTCATGACCCGACACTAACTGACAGTCTACATAGTAATAAAATTCTATTAGATTGTGAAGTATATTATTTTAACCGATTAGTATATATTATATAAAGATGTTTTACACTTTAAACTACTTCCTTCGCTCTAAAAAAATATAATGATATAAAAAATAAAATTATATGATAATTTTTGAGAATTATAATCTAATAATTTTTTTTTTGAATAAAATTATAATTCAATTTGTACCTCTGGTATTTTATCGAAAATAAAACTCTAAACTAACAATTTTATCCTAAAATTCTATCCAAATAGAATTCTAAACTATTTTTTTTAAATCTTATGAAGTCTATTTAAATCTATTCAACGTGGCGCGACACTTAGCGAAAAGTTGAAATGTCAAATGTCGTTGCCTCATGACCTGGCTAAAAGTTTAGCTTTATATATTAGTTATATTATTTATGTTTAATTTTATATATTATGTTTAAGTTTATATAAACTTAAACATAAATTATTTATATAAACTTAATTAAATTAAAGTTGTTCAAAAAAAAAATATATATTAACATAAACATAAAAAAATAACATTATTTATATAAACTTAAGTTGTTCAAAATATATATATATATCGATTTTTTTTTATATGCATATAATATTAAAAAAAATTACGGGTTAGCCCGCAGCCCGGCATGACACGGCCCGCCAGGCATGTGGGTCGTGTCGTGAGCTGGGATGTGCCAAAATTTGGCCCGGCACGAGCACCACCTAGGCACGGTCAGGCACGATCCGACACAATACCCACCTTTATTTATTAGCTATTCTTTTAAAAGAAAAAAATGCAACTCCAGTCATAGATTGTTTGCTTTAAAACGATCCCAAATTTTAAGTGTATCTTTATGAAATGGTTCACGAAAAATTAACAATTAACTAAACAAACTTGACAAATTGGTTAATATGAGTACCTCCCAAAAAAAAAAAAGAACGTATTAAAGTGTAAGAGAGTATAAACTACCTTAAAGAGACACTTTTTCATTGGATGTTTCAATCTATAATTTATAATCTATACTAAAGTGAGTTTTTAAGAAAAAAAATGTGTTATATAGAACCTTTCTCATGCACTAGAAACATGCCACATCATTCACAGTTTTTGGATTCATGACCAACCATAACTAACCAATTTGTTAAGTCTTACCATCTTTTGTTTATGCTTTCATATTTAACTCAAATTTAATGTACTACATCCATTTCGTATTAATCGCAACTTTGGAATATTTTATATCTCACAAATAATACCCTAAAGTTGCAACTAAAATGAAACGGAGGTAGAATATGACTTTGGTTGGATTTATTTATTTTGTATTCTTTTTGTAATAACTTAATGACTGTTGGGGATTTGGGGTGAGTAGTCACTTTTAGAGCATGAACACTTTACTCAATGGTTGAAATTTCTACATTGTAAACCTGAATAGAATTAGTTGTGAGGATATTAAAGTTCACATGCTTGAATGTGAATCTGATTTCTTAGTTTGGGTTGATTAAATGGACTCAAATTCATTAATAGTCGAGCTAGTTAAATCATCATGTGATTCTTTATTGTTTTTTATATTGTGATTCTTTAGTTCTTTTATTGTGGTAAGGCGATTGTCATGATAATCAATCCTCATACAAGTTAATTAGACCCAAATTACCAAATTAGTTTATCAAGGGTAGTGTGAATAGCATAAAAAATAGGAAATTTTAGATTTTAACACCAAACAAATCAATGAAAATTGATATTAACACCTCCCAAAAAAAAAAAATTTATTTTAACACCACATAAAAAAATTAAAATTTGAAGTTACCACCAGAAACTGAAATCTGTTAACGAAACTGTTACTGGGTCCCACTCCAACGGATACTTTTTGAACATCTGTTTATAAATGCACGATTCTCTTCGATTTTCTTCTTTTGTTAGCAAATTTTGGATTAATTAGGTTGATTTTGGTTGCTTTTCATTCAAAAATACGATTTCATATCAAGAATTCTTGGTTTTGTTGGGGTCGAGGAACGATTTGCAGGTGGTAAACAGTATGTTTGTTCATACATCAAAATCGCACTTTCTCTGTAATTTTATGGCGAATTGAGCTTGTTTGGATTTGGTCATGAATTATGGTGGATTTGGTGTTTCGATTATCATTGTTGCATCAAATTGCCAATTTTAAAAAATTAGGGTTTATATGGATATGAAATTGGGGGTTTTCTTGTTAGGCAATTTTAATTGGAAGTTGGTGTTGGGACTTTTAATTCGTTTGTGTACAAAGCAGTAAATGTATAAATTATCCTCAATTGATGCAGATTATGTCTTCTTTGAGCTATTCTCCTTCAAAGGAGAGAAAGTGCCAGTGTGGAGTGCCAATGGCCAGACTAACTAGCTGGACTAGGGAGAATCCAGGGAGGAATTTCAGATCTTGCAAGTTTTTTGATACAGTCACAGAAACAAGGGGCTGCAAGGTCTTCGAATGGGTTGACTAACCTAATGGGACAGATTGGCAAACAGGGGTCATCAACAACCTGTTGTTGGATAAGAAGCTGCTTAAGGGTGAAGTGAATGAGTTGAAGAGGGAAGTTGATGAAATCAGTGGGCAAAGGAGGTGCCTCCTTAATGAAGTTGGCAATTTGAAGATGAGATGCAAGACTTTGAATGCTGAAAGAAAGAGAATGAACAGGGATTGTAAGGCAGTGGAGAAGTCTTCAGTGAACTGTTTATGGGTGGGCATGGCTATCTGTATTAGTTTGTCAATTGGGGTAGTTTTCCAAATGGTTAGGGGTGTTTAGTTCTAAGTTAGCAGAATTAGGTTGTTGAATTTGTATTTTGTGACTTTAAGTGTTGGGAGCTTTTGTGTAATGAACTATTTACTTATGTGAATGAATTCCAACTATTTATGTGTTAGATGTGCATTTGTGATGGTTTTACTTGGACATTGAAAGCATGCATGCATTAAAGAGAAGGGGTTGGGGAACTTTGTAATTTGAATACAAAATGCAAAATGGAGAAGTTAACATAATTAATCAAAAGTACTTGCCAAAAGGTGTGTACTTCAACCTGTTTTAATGGCAGTTACAGCCATACAAAATATAGTAACTTCAAGTTTGTGATTGTTCAAATGTTAATGACAACCCATCAAAAACTGACATTAATGAAACAAAATAAGACATTGTTTCCTAGCTAGCCCTTATTACATCATTGAGTGAGGTTTACATCCCTGATTGTTTGCAGCTTGGACCTTGTTATCACACTTGTGTGTGTTGGTTGCGGCCCTGTTGTTGGTGCAAGCTGGCTGGAGGAAATCAGAAAATTTATATTTGGTTCTTGAGTAGTGGTTGGTTCAGGTTGGCTTGAGGAAGCCTTTGACTTTGACTTTGGCTGCTGTTTTGTCTTAGGCTGACTTGAGGATGGCTGAATTGTGCTTGGTTGACTTGAGCTCTGTTTTAGGATTGGACAACTTAGTTAGCTTACAGATCATAGTTAATAAAGGTAAAGAAACACATGCTACAACTTTCATACCTTTTTTGTAGCTCTAGCTTCTTTCTTCTTCCTCTCCTCCACCACCCAAGGAGTATTGGAGGATGGTCTGCCTGGTGGCCTTGGCACATCTGTTGCTGCTGTTGCTGGTGCAGCAGGCTTTTTGCAGGTCTTGG